ACCACCATCTAATGAGACAGGTACTATCGTTATTCCCATTTCATAGATGAGGAAACTGAGGCTTAGAGAAGTTTAGTAATACACACAAAAATTACAGTGTTTAAGAAGGACTGAGGCTTTGTCCATTTGTTTCTTTCTCTCTGACTATGAATTTACATTTGCTGGAGGGTATGGCTGTATCTCTGCAGAAGGCTGAGGGTCCTTTTAACATGCTCTGTTTAATATTGGCTGCATCTGTGTGATGTTGCGGGGCTGAACCTCAAATCAGGCCACACGCTGAAATCTCCCATACCTGGGCCCCAGCCCAACCCATTAAATCAGAGCTCATTAGGGAGGGGCCTGGGCCGAATTTAATGTGCAGCCAAGATTGAGAGTCCATGTAAGAGGCCTCACTCAGTCAGTCTCTGGGTTCCCTTTCAAACGCTGGGATTCCCCTGGGTGCTATGAATCTGGGAAGCGGGAGATAAAGACAGCCTCTACAGGTACGCGGGAACGCAGCCACCACGTAACAGTATTAAATACTTCTAGGGCTGCTAACCAGAAGGTTAGCATGAGTTAGAATCGACTCCATGGCAACAGGTTAGGAAGCAGCTTCTCCACCCGTCTGTCAGTTTGTCCTACTGTGGTGACTTGCATGTTGCTATGATGCTGGAAGCTATGCCACCAGTATTTCAAAGACCAGCAGGGTCACCCATAGCGGACAGGTTTCAATGATGCTTCCAGGCTAAGACAGACCAGGAAGAAAGGCCTGGCAAACTGCTTCTGACAATTAGCCATGAGAAGCCTATGAATCACAACAGAGCATTGTCCAATGTCGTGCTGAAAGATGAGCCCCCTAGGTGGGAAGGCACAAGGGACCTGAGCATGCCAACAATCACAAAGGTGGCACAGGATGGAGGAACATTTCATTCTGCTGTACACGGGTCACAAACTTGATGGCAACTAACAACAACAAGGAAGAGGTTGTTGGCTCCCTTTGGGATAGAACTCGGTAGAGATACGAACAGGTGCACAAGTAGCCCTGGCAGCACAAGTGGTTAAGCGCTAGGCTGCTAGCTGAAAATAAAGAGAAAAATTGCAACAGCACCTCCCAATACAGTATCTCACATGATCCTCACCACAGCCCTTAAGGTAGACATGATTATTCTCCACTTTACAGATGCAGAAACTGAGCCCCAGAGTGGAGAGGTGGCTTGTCCGAGACCACAGAGCTAGAAAGTGGCAGGGGTAGGACTACTGCCCACTGACACCCAATCCAGGGCTCTTTCGATGGCAACAGCCCCTGGCACAGAGCAGATGTCCAATAAATAAATAAATAAATGTTTAATCAATTACATAATTGATTAGGGTCCCTGTGTGGAACTTTCTGGGCTATAACTGCCCGCCACAGGCCCACCCTTCCAGCAAAGGCACAGCTGGACTGAGTGGAGGGAGGGTCCCTACCCAGGAAAGTGAGTTGGGGTTAATACCCTCTCCTCCAACAAACCACACACAGCACACTTGTCACGGGCCATAAAATTGTGCTGCTCTTTACAGGAAAGAAAAAGGAAAAAAAAAAAAAAAACCCTGTCCCTATTACTTATCTCTCTGGAGGCACCCAATTTCCCTGACCCCACGGAGCTGACTCTGCACAGCACAAAGAAATATTTCCTCTTATTTGCTCTAAATTTACTGTCCAGTAATTTTTCTGTTCTCATTTTATGGGACAGACTGAGCCATTTTCTCCTGGTCCTTTTTCTGAATCTCAAATACCCCCATAAATTGCAGCTGACACTTCCTCTCCGGTCTTAGAAGGAAAAATCACCTCAGCTGTGGTAGCCTTCACTAGGAGCTGGCCAGTCTCCTGGGACCTTCGGCCCCCACCTGTCAATTGTCAGTGGGGGCTTCCAGAGGCTGCCTCAGGGCCAGAGGTCAGTCAAGCCCAAGGCTGGGGTCTAGCATCTTCCTCCTCCAGGAAGTTCGGTCCTGAAAATTCCACACTGTCTAATGAATGTCCACCCTGTCCCCTGTACTCTGATTCTGGAGGTGAAGGAAGAGGCAAAAACGAGGACAATGTAGCTGCTGCCCTCACGCGTGTACATTCTAGATAGAGGGGCGACTCGTGGTCCCCGTAAGTCACATTTGTGGAGTGCTGTCTGGGAGACAAGCTCTTGCACCCACATCATCACGCTGCACTGCCACAAGGGGCTAAGGTGGGTGGAAACAATTCTGATTTCCACAGGTGTTAAGTGGAGGGGCCGGAGCTGGCAATGGCAGGCTGGGATGAGAAACCAGCCCTGTCTGGTGAAGGCGGGGAGGTAGAAAGTGCTGGTGTCTCCGAGGAAGACTGGAATGTCACGACATCAGGAGGGCCAGTGTAGGGCAGAAGGGTGCAAGGGGAGCCGGGCCAGGCTGGTTGGTATGGCAGAGTCATGGATGGCTTAACAAGGAGCCTGGACGTCCCTCGGTGTGACTGGATCATCAATGGTTTCTAAGTAAGGGCTGTGGGAAGTTGATAAAGAGATCAGCTGCCTTGGGCTGGGAGGGTCCTAAACTGGGGATAGAGGCAAGAATGGGGACTCTGGGCATAGCCTTGAATAACCTGCTTCCATGGTTTGTGGGGGCAGCCAACAGCTTGTTCTGGAGGAAGAGTTGGGAGGGGATGGGCCCAAGGGAGGAGGAAGGAAGGATGGACACAGTGCCAGAGCTCAGTCCTGGGTCTGCAACTCGCTTGCTCTGTGCTCCTGGGTAAACCTGAGTTTTCTGTGCCTCAGGCGCTGTTGGGAGGATCTGACAAGTTAGTACAGTGAAAGCAGTGTCTGGAACAGATAATGCTGAAGAAATGTTACAGTTTTCACCCTGTTTAACAGAAGATGCAGTTGAGGGAGGGTAAAAAAACCACACAGCTAGTAAGGATATGACAGTGCTCAAGACAGACTCCACTCACTCTGCCCCGACGTAAGGCTGCTGGTGGCCACCAGAGGGAGCCCTGGTCTCGGGAGAGACAGACTCCGACCAAGCCGACCCTGGCCTGCTGCTGTTGTGGCTACAGACAGGGGTGACATGAGATAGATATTACACCCATTTTACAGGTTGAGTTGCTGCACGCTTACCTATTGGGAAGTACAGTCAAGACTAAAATCTGCATCTCCTCGCTCACAGTGCAATGATCTTCCAAATATACATGCTAACTTTTATTTAACCAGAATATTTAATGTAACTCTTTCCTCAACCCTACTGTATCCCAACCTCAGTGCCAACTAAATATGCATTAACTACCGCTTGGCAAAGGTTAACATGGCAGAAGGGGTGAGGGGTTCCTTGGAAACTTGGGTTAGGAAAGGCTAAACAAAGGGGACCTCTGAACTGCATTTTGCAGGACACATCAGATTTTACCAGATGGCAGGGTCGCAGCAGACAAAGGCAGGGAACATTGAGAGGGAACAGCATGTGCAAAAGCACAGCAGCAAATAGCCTGGAAGAGTAAGGTGTGTCCCAGGAATGGTGAGTGAGCGTGAGAGGAGAGAAGAAGGTGGGGGATGGATGAGACTGAGACCATGGGTGTAAAAACAACGTGGGGGCAGCGTCTGATCTCCTCTCTCTTCACAAGTGGGAAGGAGAATCAAGATCAACAGCCCAAGGCTGATTCCTATGAGGCAGAGGTCAGACATGCCTCCTCTCTCCACCATTTTTACCAATTCTGACACCAGTCATCCCTCCCACGGCACTCTCTACTTCTCTGCTGGGTTTGATAATCTTTGCAATGGCCACAGAGAACTCACAGACCACACTCACAATTATGGGATTTACTAGGGAAGTAATAGGTTACAATTCAGGCTCAGGAACACTCAGGATACAATTCTTCCATCAGGACAGCCTCTTCCCAGCCAGCTGTGCTCACAGGTACGCCTCTCCCTGGCCCTCAGCCTCTGCCCAAAGGCACTCAGCTTTCTCTCTCTGTGGCCAGGAAGTCCACCGCTCCGTCTCCTGCTGCCGGGTTTCTGCTGCTGCTTCTCGCTGCCTTTAGTGTGACAGTTCTCTCTCCGTCTCCTGGTTACCGGAGCTTCTCAGCACAGGGATCCCCGGTCCAAAGATGCCTGGCTCCTGGCTGTTTTTCCTTGGTGGTGGTGGAATCTTCTCTTCTTTCCCACCTCTGGGGTGGCTCATTTCAAGCCCATCTGGGTGGCAAAACTAACCAATCCTCTTGGTGGGCCACAATTAACCCTGTCACACAGTCTTGCCCAATCACTTGGGTGGAAGTTACAAGACCATGGGTACAAAGGCCACACAAAAGCGATCTATGGCACTGCAATGGGGCCAGGAGTGGTGGTCAGGGAGATGCCTGGCCCAGGTGAGGAGGGGGCTCACCACAGGTCCCTCTGTTACTCATGAGGCCTCAGGGTCCAGGGGAGGGAGGCTCAGCACTGGGCACTGAGGGAGCAGAGGAGCCAGGGAGGGTAAATTAACCCAAAATCTCACTGTCCTAATAGTTAGAGACTGAAATTCACTCATTTGACCACCAAATCTGTGAGCTTGTCCTTTCAAGCCCCCACCCTTACCCAGAGTCCTGCCCTCTTGGGGCTCAGTCTTGCTCTGCCGAAAGGCCTCAGGGAGTCACAGTCTGTAACCTGATTGGGACCATTCATCCAGATGTGGGCATCTTGCATTGGCTTCTGGAGGGTGTGGTTCATTGCGATCTCACACACAGCTGGGCCCTCAGGCTGTGTGGCAGCTCTGTGGCAGCTTCACCTTCCACAGACTTTCCTCAGAAAGGCCTAGTTTCCATCCTCCTCCCACCTTCCCAGGCTCCATGGCCCCACCAGGTACCAGGCATGCTGTTGGAGCAGGCTAACTTTTTCCAGGAGCTGGTCAAAGCCAGCCAGAGGAAGGGTGTGGTCAGAGGGGCAAAGAGCTGGATCCAGGCCCCCTATCATGACTTCCTTGGCCACAGGGCCACCCAGAGTGGCGACGACTGTTCTGTCTCTCTGGGCCTGGCTGACCAATCTTGTCTCTTGGCGCAGAGGCACAGAGCTTCGGCATGCTGGACCCCAAAATCTGCTATTTGCTGGATGGGATCCTCTTCATCTACGGTGTCGTTATCACTGCCCTGTTCCTGAGAGCACAGGTGGGTGTCACTGGGGGCCTGGGGGAGGTTGTGCGTTCCCCAACTCGGTGGAAGGTCAGCTCAAGCTCAGTTAGTGCCTAGAGCTCGGTGTCCATGGGAAGAGCTGGGGACATCTGGTATGCACAGAGGGTGGGGGTGGGGGTGCTAGTTAAGCCCAGTAGGGTGGGAAGGAGAGCCTGGGGCTGGCCCCTTGTGCATGCCTGAATGTCCCAGGCGGGGGTGCTGTGGGCGGTCAGGAGAGAGGCTTCTGCTTCAGACAAACAAGGATGGAAGGTAGGGGATCCAAGGCCTCTTCCCATGTCCTGCTGCCCAGCTGCTCAGCAAGGCCATGTCAACCTTTCTATCAGTTTCCCCATCTGCGAATGGGAGGGTTGGCCCAGAGCATGGGTTTTCAACCAGTGTTCTGCAGACCCTGCATTTCTCCGAGCAGCTGGGTTGGGTGGGCCAAGGGTGGAAGGTCTCAGGGGCAAGGGGAGGCTCCAGCTCTCTGTCATCACTTCAAGATTTCATCTGAAAAAGAGAGTTTTACTGATTTTCATCTTTAAAGTTTGAAAACAGTGCCCTAGATGCTCTCCAAGTTGTTTCCAATGCTCTGTATCTGTAAGGCCTTGGAGCTTCTCTCAGCAGAGGCGGCAGGAACCAGAGAAAGGGTGAGGCTGTCCGTGCACTCTGGGCCAGCGCCAGGCTTCCCTTGGCTGGGGCCTGCTCCGGTGCCTCCGGCCTGAGATCGAGAGCTGGACGCACCCTGACCTAGGGCTCAAGATAGGCGGCAGGACCTTGTGCGGCCACCGTTCTCTTGGGACAGTCCTCAGCATCCGAGGCGGACAGGCCCGCGATCGCTAACCCAGCAGTTCTGCGCATGCGCAAGCGCGCTAGCCCGGGGCACATCCACCCCAGCCGGTCCTGGGCCAGCGTTGGGGATGCTCGTGTCACGGAGGGAGGAGACACGGGCTGCCACGCCGCCGGCTTCTGCAAGGGACCAGCCCCAACACGAACTGCTTTATTGTCAAGGGCTGGGGTGAGGCTTTCCCTTGGGCTGCCCCTGGCCCTGGAGGCCTTGGCTGGCCGCGCACGGGGCATGACGGTATTGGCTACTCTTTTCCAGTTCAGCAGGAGCGCGGATGTGCCCGCTTACCAGCCCGGCTCCAACCAGCTCTACAACGTAAGTCAGCCGCTCTGCAGACCACGCGGAGAGAAAGTGCAGGTCTTCCCTGGGGATGCAGTGGAAAACACGGGTCACAGGCTAGATTTGGGGTCTGGCTCTGCAGCTATCAGCTCTGTGCCCCGGCAAATTGTTTAACCAATGTAAGATTTTTTTATAACCCCGTAAAATGGGATAGTAATTGTACCTGCCTCATGGGGTTGCTGTGAAGGTTAAATGATTTCAGGGTTTGATGCATGAAAAGCACTTAGTACCTGGCACTACCAGTGAGCCCCCAGCAAATCCGCAATTTGCAAAGGCTAGAGGAGGGCGAGGTCCTTGGTGGCGCAAGCTGTTTGGATCAGCTGCTAACTGAAAGGTTGGGTTTTAACCCACCCGGCAGTGCCGCGAATGAAAGGCGTGGCGATCTGCTCCCGTTAAGATTACATCCAAGAAAACCCTATGGAGCTCAGTTCTACTTTGTAACACCTGGGGTAGCCGTGAGTCAGAATCAGCTGGATGACAATGGGTTTGGTTTTCTGGTTTTTAGAAGAGGGTGACAATTTTAGACTTTTCACAGCGTTGGGAGAAGCTATTTCACACTTCCTGTGCTGTAGGACTTTGGTCAAATTGATTACCCTCTTTGAGCCTCAGCTTCTCTATTTGTTATTACTTATCTCATTAGGTGATAAGCATATAGTACAAAAAGCACTTGGTAACCTTTGGGGATCCCATTCACACCAGAGTAACACGTGATTTTTGAGATGACCAGTGGCACCAGTTTACGTAGCACATATACTGCATATGCACACCACACACACACACACCACATACACACTCACACCACATACACCACATACACACCACACTCATACACCACATACACACACCACACTCACACACACTCCACACCATACACACGCCACACACACTGCATACACACTCAACCACATACACACCAAATACACACTCACACCACATACACACACACCACATACACATCACCACACTCACACACACTTCACACCATACACACACACCACACATACACACACCCTGTCCCTGCTCATTTTTTTTACTGAGACACCACCCAGTGGGAAACAAACTCTGAGTCCAGCTGGCCCCCTCCTCCTGAGGTTCGCCTTCTCTGCCTGGCCTTCTCTGACATTTTTCTGTCTGTTTTTAGGAGCTCAATTTAGGAAGAAGAGAAGAGTATGACGTTTTGGACAAGAGACGGGGCTGGGACCCTGAAATGGGAGGGAAACAGGTAGGGAATTTCTCTGTGTGCCTGTAGGGGGCGGGAGGTGGGGAGGAGGTAGGTGCTCAGCCGAGACAGGACAAGGACGGCTCCTCAGCCCTTGCACACACCCTACCACCTGCCTTGACCCTAACATTGGTGAGCCTGGGGCAAGAGGACAGACGGAGGCCCGCATTGCGTCCTCTCCCTTCCTCTTCTCTTCTTTCCCTCTCGGCTCCATTCTGTATCACAAGGGGCCTCACATGCATGAGTGTGGCACCGCTGCCCACCCAGGGGCAGATTATCCAGTAGGCAAAGTAAGCACGGTGCATACCTTGCTTACCAGATCATCTGTAGCGAACAATTTTCCCATTTTTCACCACTTCAAAGATTCTGCTTCTGGGTATGGTTGGCATCTATCTCTCTCTCAACCCCATAGCACCTTCCTACAGAATCAAAGCCTCTTTTCAAAGTTATAGTCCCTGACTGGGATGGATTACCCAGTAAGCATGATAAACACAGCCTTACTTGTGCTTACTTACTAATCTGTAGTGAACAATTTCATAATTAACAATTTGATGTAGTGCAAACCATGTGAAACTATTTACTGCAGATTAGTAAGTAAGCACAAGTAAGGCTGTGCTTACCTACTTATTGGGTAACTGTGCCCACCTGTTCAAGCTCCAGACACCTCCCTAACACAGCAGCTGCTCCTTGGCCACCCTGAGATGTACACAAGGTGGCACCATCCGCCCCCAGGAGGATGGACCAGGTGAACAGGTCCACACAGGAAGGGGCCCAAGGCCCTGCGCAAGGAATTCTGCATCCCTGGCACCTGGAGCATGGTCAGGGGTGCGGCTCCAGCAGCTCTGTCTCCTTGTCTCCATGAACCCCTCACCTTGTGGGGAGAAGAGCAGCTTGACGAGGCCAGAGGAGGGCCCTCTGCAGAGCAGGGCCCACGTTTAAGGGCAGTACCCCCTGACACACTGCTCAGTGATCCCTCTGCTTTTGGTTCACACATGTCTGCCAGCTCCTGGCAGCCTATCTGAGCCCCGTGCTAGGCGTGGGGCTGCTAGAGTGAATGGGCAGGCTAGGAGAGGCTATCATTTTTCTTAGGCTCCCCTGCCCCCTCCTCCACCCACACCTGTGCCCTCTCCTCTTCTTCAGCCCAGCCAGGAAGCAGGGGGATGGGTGGGGAAGGAGGCCCTCTCAGCAGGTTGTGCCAAACAGTGGCTGCCTTGGCTGCAAGTGAGGGGACATTTCATCTTCAGCCGCAATTCCAGGACAACAGGAAAAAAAAACACTTGTGAGGTTAATGGTAGGGTATGTCTGCGACGGGCAGACAGATGGGCCATCAGCACTGGGCAAAGCCCCCAGCTGGGTAGGCTCATCAGAGGCCCTATCCTGCAGAAGATGCCAGTATGCTACGTAAAGGAGTATGAGAGACATGCATAGCTGTGAGGCCCGTGAGGGGCACGGCCAGACTGAGGCAGCAGAGAGGAAAGGCTGATGGCAGAAGCCAGGGGGTATATGTGGCGGGAGGGGAAGTGGGGAGCCTGCAACTCTCATGGCCTGGATTCATGTTTCTCCACCTCTGACTTCTCTCTTTTTCTCTTCTAGCAGAGGAGAAAGAATCCTCAGGAAGGCGTGTACAATGTGAGTAGAGGAACTCTCACGTTTTATGTTAGAAGGTTGGGGAAGGACTTGGAGGAGAGCTCTGGAGAGGCCCTTTCCCCACGCTCTGTGCCTTATCTCTGGCCTGATCCCCCCTTTCCCTGGGCCAAATAGTGTCTACTGTGCTTGCTGCCTGCAGCAGTAGCTGCTTATAGAAAAGTCCTTAGCTGAAAAGTGGGGAATTCTCTCCCCTTCCCATGCATTCCTTCTCTCAGCCCTTGGTCCTGAAACTGGAGTGCCCAGGGTTGGTGCTCGGCACAGGAGGGCAGGCTGTGGAGAGCTAGGAGGCAGGCGCTCTGAGCGGCCCCTGTTCCTGGGTATTCTGTTGAGTATTCCTCTGTTCCATCCCCATCCTGGGTGGGCAACTCGCAGTTGGTAACCTGCTGTGAAGGGAGCTTCCTCTTCTCCCCTCCTACAGTCAGTTGTTAGGTGTGGGAAGAGAGAACTTTCTCAAATAAATGACTCGTGTTGTGCAAACGGTTGGCTCTCGACTACTCACCTAAAGGTTGGCAGTTCAAACCAACCCAGTGGCACTGAGGAAGAAAGGCCTGGTAATCTGCTTCTATAAAGATTACAACCAAGAAAACCCTATGAGGCAGTTCTACTCTGTAACACATGGGGTCACGATGAATTAGAATCCACTCAGCGGCAGTGGGTTTTTTTTTTTTTTTGGCGGGGGGGCTCCCTGGGATTGTCCAACATCCACGTTCTTTGGCTAGAACTCCACGTCCTGTCTTTTTGAGCCAAACTGAGCTGCCGGCCGCAAAGCGCTAGCAACTCAGAGAAGATACCAACGGGCTGAAGAGGAGGAGGGTAGGGTTTGAGCTGGTTGTGGGCAGAGTTGTTTGTGTGAATAAGGCTCAGAGCCTTGATTGCGGGAGCCCCTACCAGGTGAGGAGTCGAGAGGCTTCTTCTTGTAGAGGAGCCCACTGTTTGATTAGTAAAACCATTGTCCCACTCCCTCTTCTCCAGGCACTGCAGAAAAACAAGATGGCGGAGGCCTACAGTGAGATTGGGTTGAAAGGCGATGTGAGTGTCACTGTTTCTTAATTCTCCAAGACTGGGGCAGGTGGTTGCTCTAAGGGATTCCCTCAGAGTCTCCCAGATCTGCCTGCCTTCGGCATCCACTCCCATCCAGTCCTCATACCACCTGCAAAAGCCCCTGTGGTGGCCCCAGAGGTGGAGGTAAATCCAGCTCTCACCCAGCGTGGCAATGCATGAGATATTAGGGAAGGGCTGGCGCTTGTAGGATTAAAAACTAAATCTAGATTCTAAAACAGCCTAAGCTTTGCAGGTCACACCTGTAACCGTTAACAACAGTATTTGTAGAGTGCCTAATGTGTGCCAGATAGTTCAGTGCTTAGGACTGAAGGGCCAGTGCCAGTGAGATGCGGGTCCCTTGTTCATAAGTGATTCAGAAAGTCAGCACAGTGAGAGCAGAGCAGTAAACCCGCCTCAGCCACGAAGCAGGCCCTGTCAGTGCTGCTAATTCCCACAATGATCCTGTGGGAAACGGATGCTACAGGGCACGAGAAGGTTAAAGAACTTACCCAAGGTCACATACCTAGTGATAGAGGAGCCAGGATTTGCACTGATTGCAGCCAGACCTCGTAACCACTGTGTGGTCCTGTGAGCACCTGTGAATCACCAAGAATTTTGAGAGCCGCAGGGAGGCCGGTTTACTGCAAGCAGTGGCCAACATGGCCAGATCCCAGCGAGGCCCAAATCCTGGCACAGGCCAGGTCCTCGGAATCTGATGTCCATAGGAGGATCTGAGCCGGGCAGAGCAAACCCCGTCCCGGTCGGAGCCAGGCCACACCTTACTCTGCAAGGCCAAGGTCAACATTCCCACCCAGGGGCAGGTGTGCTGGCTGGCAGATAGTCACCTCCGACTTTCTGGGGGACCCTGAGTGAGGGCCCTTCAGCAAGAATGTCACTACTGACTGCTTGAATTGCTGACTCTTTTTTCGTTTCACTCCCAAAGAACCAGCGACGGAGAGGCAAAGGGCCGGATGGCCTTTACCAGGTAAGAGCAGAGGCAGGCCTTCTGGGCGAGCGCTTTGGCCTGTGCTCCTCCTTCCTTGAGGGTGGGGCAGGGGGGAGCTGGCTCAAGGCCCCCACTTTAGGCATATTGGTGGCACCAGCTCTTACCAATGGCCGGCAAGGCAAGTCCTGGGACATCCATTCAGTGTTGTGGTGATACCACTGCCAGCAGTTACAGGGCAGGGCTGGGACTCACCAGTTCAAGCAGATCACTTGGCTTCTGTGGAGGCTGTGTGGCCCCGTGCTTGGCTTGGCCACAGCAGACAGAAGCAGCTGAGGGTACCTCTCACACGGACGCATAGATGTGGTCAGAGCAAGCCACACGGGGGATTTCAGGCCCGTGCCCACTGCTTGGGCCCTGCACTGCCTCGTATCCTCAGACTTGAATAAAATAGGAAGATGGGCAGGAAGATTGAAGGAAAAAAAAAAAATCAAGAAAATAACACTTTAAAAAGAAACCTTACCATAGTCAAGTGCCTGGTTTATGCAAATCGGTGCAAATAATTATCCAAACGAAGCACAGCAGACCCTGCACTCCCCAGCAGGTCCTCATTCTGGCCTTCTGGCTCCCCTGGGCAGCTCAGCGCTGGCTGGACTGATCCCAAAGCGGCAGGATGCTGGACTCGCCTGAGTTCGTGATGATTCCAAAAGTGCCACCAGAATTTTACCTGTGTGGGGCTGTGAGTCAGAATCAACTGGACAGCAATGGGTTTGGTTTGGTTTTTGGTTCTGGCCTTGCAGCAGGGAGAGAAGAGCTTCAGGGAGGCGGGGCCCAGCCTTGCCCATCTGCTCCCTGAGAGAGCATTGCTCTCCCAGCGGTGCCTGGCAGGGAGGCTCGGGGGAGGCTGAGGCCAAGGAGGCACCACTCCCTCACCGTGGCAAGTCCAGGCTTCTGCAGGACCGTGCGTTACGGGCAGCAGATCCTCTGGAGCAGGCCTGGGCCCTTCTACTGATTCCAGCTCAGTACTGGAGGCTGGGGACCTGCCTTCCTGTTGCTCAGACAGGAAGTTGGCTGGGCCCAGGCACTGTAGGCACTGCACTAGGGACACCAGGAGGAAGTGTGAGAATTTGGTTGGGAAGGAGTTGCTCCAAGGCCATTCCCAGCAGGGCACAGAACTTACCCCACCTGCAGCCCTCTCGGCAAAACCTCCCCACCTGTGTGAGCTGACGGGATTGTTTTGGGCCTCTGGAAGCTGGGAGGTCATGTTTGGGGCTGCGGAAGACACCTGAGGCCTCTGGGAGGCTCTTGCCTATACAGGGGCTCCTGGCTCACTCTTTTCTTCTGATTTGCTCTCACCAGGGGCTCAGCACGGCCACCAAGGACACCTATGATGCCCTCCACATGCAGACCCTGCCCCCTCGCTAACAGCACAGGGATTTCACCACTCAACAGGCTTACCTGCAGACGCCCAGATTGTTGAAGACAGAGGATACAGCATCTACAACCCAGTCCACTCACATTGCTCAGCCACCAAAGTCTAAGAACAGGATGCTTCAAGTTGTAACATTTGGTCCTATCCAATTCTACACTGTCATACACAGAACACTCCCTGGACTATACGGGATGTATCCACCGGGGTTATGGCCCTGTCCTTGATGAACCAGTTGTGGACATGGCATGTTCTTGGGTCTTCTAGTTTGCTAGTGGTAGCTTCCCCCTCTGCCACTGGCTCAGTGCTCTCACCCAGGAAATGGGCACATTCCACCTCACAGCTGAGTCTGTGTCTTGTAAAGTCCCCAGAGAAACCCCAGATGTTACATACGTTCTAATAGTCTGTCCTGCTCTGCCAGCATTTGCGTGGCTTCACTCCTGCTGTAAATTTGGCTTCTGTTGTCAACCTCCTCCTTACTTCAAGGTAACTTGTAATTGCACCGAGGAGGCTGTTGTGTCTACTTGTGAAACGTCTAGGCAGAGGGGAAGATGGGAGGAAGAGTCCAGGCAAGTCTGCAGTGGCCAGAGGTGGCTCAGGGGAGGAGGCGGGAAGTAGATGGGGGTGGGAGTCAGGGTCAGCTAGAGTTGTGGGGACAGGGGAACTACGGGGATCAAAAGATGAACAAGGCTGTCCTTGTTCTCATGGAGCTCACACTCTTATAGAGGAAATGAGTTGTAAACAAATTGGTATAAAAACCACAGTAAGCATCATTAGAGACTATGAACAAGGGCAGGGTGGGGGGATGGTGAGAGGAGAGGGCAAAACCATGTTCTTTTCTGAGCACTTGGTTCATTTCACACCTTGAGTGAAAGCCAAACCCATCATTGTGAAGGCCTCGGGGGAAGACCCAGCACCACTCCGACCTATAAAGATCCAGCGGACAGTGGCCCAATGGGCAAAACCTCAGTGGACTTTCTGGAACATCACTGTGTAATTAAAGGGCACATGGCCACCGATGGAGAACCCTCTCTGCTCTGTTCGGTTTTAATTTATACTGGTTTGCTAAAGCCATGCTATTTTGCATAATAAATGCAGCAGTGAAAATGCTTTGCTCTAAGCTTTCTTTCAGCAGTTGGGCCTGAAATGATAGTTCAGTCATCATGGAATCTGCATGCTGCCGTTGCAGTGGGGGCGAGCCGCTGATGCTCAGGAGAGGACGGGTTCCTTGGAGTGTGCAGGTGAACAGAGGTGCACACAGTGGCCCAGAATGCTGCTGGGGGGCAACGAACCGCAATGTGAGGTGAGCATGGCACCTAGGCTGGTGGCTGTGCCGCATGGTACCCCGAGCACTGCTCGGTGCAATACTACGTCGGGATGGGCTTGGGCCTTATGCTGGAGCCGAGAGAGGCAATGAGAAAGGCGGGTAAGGAGGCCCGGAAGGGCAGCCTCTCAGCATTGAGCAGCCTGTGGAGCACTGGAAGACAGGAGGGAGAGGCAAGCCTAGCATCCAGGCATCAGGAATAGGCAACATGGTGAGCAGAGGGTGTCCTGGAGTTAGTAACAGCAGCTGATGCCACAGCACAAGTGTCTCAGTCCATGTGGCTTAGGGGAGGGAAGGAGAACAACAGAGGTCTTCTAAGTCAGTTTCCCTCACAAAAGGTGGCTCTGTCCCCAGCAGTATTTCATCTAAGAGCTGTAAAAAAAAGGACCTAACTCACCAAGCCCACTAATTGTTATTATTGAGTGCCATCAAGTCAATTCCGAATCATAGGGACACTATGTGTAACAAAGAACTGCCCCATAGGGCTTCCTTGGCTGAAATTTTTTTTTTTTTTTATTGTACTTTAGGTGAAAGTTTACAGAACATGTAGTTTCTCATTAAACACTCAGTACACATATTGTTTTATGACATTGGTTAACAACCCCACAACATGTCACCTCTCTCCCTTCTTGACCTTGGAGGACCTTTTTTTGGTGAAAATACATAGCCAAAATTACACCATTTCAAAAATTTCTACATGTACAATTTAGTGACATTCCATTCTTCCAGTTTTGCTGCTATTCTCACTATGCTTTTCCAAATTATTCCAGCACCATTATCTTCAACTCACTGTCCCCTAGGTTTCCCATCAAACCTTTTGAGTTGCTGTTGTCAATTTGATCTCACTTTTTTTTTTTTTTGGTATTTTAGATGAAGGTTTACAGAACAAAATAATTTCTCATTAAACAGTACAGATATTGCCCTATGACAATGGTTAACAACCCCATGACATGTCAACACTGTCCTTTCTCAACCTTGGGTTCCCTATCAACAGCTTTCTTGTCTCCTCCTGCCTTCCAGTCCTTTTCCCTGGACTACTGTGCCTTGTTAGTCCCATTTTGTTTTATGGGGCTGTCCAATCCCCGGCTGAACAGTGAACCTCGGGAGTGACTTCACCACTAAGCTAAAAGGGTATCCAGGGGCCATACTCTCGGGGTTTCTCCAGTCTGTCAGGCCAGTAAATCTGGTCTTTGTGTGTTAGACTTTTGTTCTACATCCTACTCCAGCTCTGTCCAGAACCTTCTGTTGTGATCCTGGTCAGAGCAGTCAGTGGTGGCAGCGGGGCACTATCGGCTGTAATCTTTATGGAAGCAGATCACCAGGTCTTTTTCTCATGGAGCTGAGCTGCTGGCAGGTTTGAACTGCCAACCTTTTGGTTAGCAGCCAGTGCTTAACCGTTGAGCCACCAGGGCTCCTTTAATATTGGGTAAAGATTTTGAAATCAGTACTTTCACTTGTCCAAAACAAAGTCCAGGCTTTGGCTATTTAAACCAAACCCACTGCCATCAAGTCAATTCTGACTCATAGCGACCCTGTAGGACACAGTAGAGCTGCCCCACAGGATTTCCAAGAAGTGGCTGGTGGATTTGCACTGCCGACCTTCAGTTAGTAGCTGAGCTCTTAACCAGTGCGCCACCAGGGCTCCTTTGCTATTAAAAGCCTCTAAGTTTGGGATTCCAACAGGAGTGATGCACAGCACTGCCAGGCATATGACAGGTCACAGGCAACTCAGGAAGAGAAGGCATTTGATTTGTGACCTGCCTCAGAGAGGAATTCAATTCCACTCAACAAATATTTACTGAACACCCACCTACTGTGTCCAGGGCTTGGCTGGTTACCAAGGAGAATGCTACAATCCCAGAGTTAGTGACTTTAAGTTTTGCCACTGGCTTTCGACCACATCATATCAAAGAACTGGTTTCACATTGCGGTGTCAGGATGCTCATGAGTCAGGCAGGAAGGACTGATTGCCATGGTGCAGACAGCCTGTGAGGAATGGGAAGGCTGTGGAAGGCTTCACTGAAGGAGGGGCCTCTGAGGACTGACAGCACCTAGAGTGGCTGAAGGCTGCCAGCCCTAATTCAGTAACCTGGTGATGAGGAAAAGGACTTGGTGGTTCCACTACGGTGGTCTGGCTGCCTCAATTCCACTGACTCACGTTCATTAATGAAACCTCCTCTGGGCTGTGGCTAGCCAATACCACAAGCATGTCACACACGTTTTATTAAAACAGCCTTTACCTGCTTTTTAAAAACTGTACTTTGTCTCATCTATTAGTCAAAGCAAGTGAGTCTCGTGCCTAAGGCTTGTGTTCTTCACCTCGCTTAAAGGTCAGCTAAGTTAGATACTGGCTGTGTGACCTGTATGGTTGCCTTGAAATTAAGAGTTCACCCAGTTGTGCCAACAGTTTGACTCAAAAGGCAAGGAGGGAATCTGGCTGTGAGCTGTGGGTGCTGGAGCTGACCTGGGTGGGTGGGGTGCAGAAACTTATCGGGTAACATGCAAGAGCTACCAAGAGAAGTGGGGAGAAAATTAGTAGATGTGCTGACAAAAGCAGAGGCGAGACACCACACAGTTACTGAGAGAATGCAGCTCAGATCCAAGGTGGGTGGCCGTCTGTGGCGCCAAGTTTCCTGCCCCTCCTGAGGCCTGGCAGTGCCCTCTGCAAACCGTGACTGGATTTCCTTGACCCCAAAAGACTACTGATCGTAAGATGTGCCATCAGCTTATATGAAAGGAAAAAAAACACTATGTTAAATGTGAACATCAGTTGTAAGATACGGCCTGTTTTAAAATGTTAAAATATGAAGATGTGTGTCTTAGAATCAAGGAAATGAGGTATTTTACTTTTATTGAGGAACCAAAACATTAATACGAGTTACAATGGAAGCTTGCAGTATTTTTCAAAAATGTATCACTTCCAAGGAATCCACAGGAAAACTACTGGAACTAATAGAAGATTTCCGCAAAGTTTCAGGATACAAGGTAAACATACAAAAATCAATTGGATTCCTTTACACCAACAAAGAGAACCTTGAAGAGGAAATCACCAAATCAACGTTTACAGTATCCCCCAAGAAGAAGAAAAATGTATCACTTCCATGTCACTGAACTCAGAGGTAGGGTGTGGATATTTGTGATCAATTTTTTTTTCTTCTTAGAGTAAGATTCAAGGTTCCTTGGTTTATAAACAGAGCAATACCTGAAACTCTGAGGCCAGGCTTGGTAGGAAAAAAATGGGCAGAAGTCCCAACCAGGCTGAGAACTTCAGAGGGGATTCTAACCCCACTTGGTCAGCTGCTTAGCTGTAGGCCTCATATCCACGGGTATCTCATGAAGCATTTTAGGGCTTGGTGCTGGACATTTCAGTTGTTGGTCAAAAACTAGTTTTGTGAACTGATGACTGAGTTGTTACTACACATGTCCTATAACTTCAACCCTTAGTCTTTGGAGAGGGACAGGCAGCAGTAAAGAGAGAGAGTATTCACCTCCTCCCATAGGTAATTCACCTAGTATAGCATGTGGCAAAGGGGCTTTGCTTGCTAATGTTTTGCTAACAGTGAGCATGCCACAGTTTCTACCAAACAGAGGATTTCTGTTAAAAACTTGAAATTGCTTTAAGAAAATAACTTTACAAACCTAAATGCAAACTACAAATAAAGGAAGGGGTGGTGTGGAAAAGAATGGGCTCTTTGACCATAGGACCAGGAGAGAAGATGATACAATATTTGTATCTTCCTATTTTGGTCCCCTTGCAGGACAGCGACCACATCTCGGCAACGGCTTTTGACAGCTCGCTCCATCTCCCAGGTTCAAGAAGAAAACGCCAGACTGGCAGTTGGCACGTGCTGTTCATACAGGCAGCACCCCATCCCAAAGTTCTTCAACAAGCTTAAGTTTCCTCTCTGGGAAATTCATTTAAAATTATTCCTTTTTAGGAAATCAACTAGTTGTATCACAGCACTAAATGTTAAATAGTATAATAAGCTAGAGGGTGTATAATAAGTCGGGGGAGATAAGCTGTGTACCCTCAGATAGGAGAATCTGGTGCTGAATTCAGGTCAGTTTCCTTCAGAAGGCCTCCAAGAGAATAAATGTTCAGGAAAAGTTAGAGGGGCACAGCACTTTAAACAATAAATTCAGAAAAGTCAAGTTTAATCCCAGTTCTGCAGACAAATACACAGAGAAGAGAGCTTTGAAGAGTTCCCTTGGAGGATCAATCAAGGGCCTGTGTGTTTGATCACTCAAAGTCCATGGGTCTGAAGGAGACTACTGCCGCTCAACTTGCCCATCGACCATCAACCACGTGGAGGGTGTGGTGAGGGGCCGCAGCTCCCCGAGGAGCACAGGAGGCAGCCGCAGGGTGATGGTGGGAGAGGAACTGTGACTCTGGAGATGCCGAGAGCACCTGCTGCAAAAATGTGTGTGTGAAGCACCCAGAAGACCAGCACAACCTCAAAGAAACTCAGACAATGTGAAAACACTTGGAAAATGGTTTAATGATGTTTCACAACAGAAATGAACTGTACAGTTACAGTAAGTTTAATATACATAAAAAATTACAGCAGACAAATGCATCTACACAAAATCTACCATTTCATTCTGATTCACTGTCACCTACACCATCTCTCCCAAGCCTACAGCCCCCTGTGGGCAGCCCCAGGAGGGGGAATCATAGAAAGGGCACTTTTAAAGAGACAGCACCGCTCATATTCCCCCACCTCCCCAGGCCTCAGGAGGGATCAGCTAATTCCCCAAAAATGTAAAGTTGCTTGTGTTTCAG